AGAGAGAGAGAGAGAGAGAGAGAGAGAGAGAGAGAGAGAGAGAGAGAAAGGAAGAGAGAAAGAGACATGCAACGCAGAATGTTAATCGCGCACAATCAATCGGTTTTTCATGTCCCGAAATTCAAATAAGAAACGCAATAATTCTAACTAATTAATAAATCATGAAGTCAAATGAAGTCATACAAACATCTCATTTGTTTTTTAAAAAAAGCGAAATTCTCGACATTGCCTCACACACACAGCATTATTCTGTTTTTACTTCTAAATCGCGAAGTGATCATTTCTGTTCACATCAATGTAAACGAAATGAATATAATTTTCGAGGAACAAAGCGGCAGCAGCAGTAGCAAAAAAAAAAAACAACCGGATTGAATGAAGAAATATAGGAGAAAAAACATGAAGAAATAATGGAAAATTGTCTAGTATTATTAGTATTACGGCTAGGCGAAGCATGTAAACGTACAAAATGAGCATTTTTCAAGTTGAGAAAACAAAACCGAATCGAATACCAACAACAACAGTAGCAGAAGCAGCAATAGCACCAGCATTGGAATATATATAGTATGTATCGAATATGTGGTAGCCGTTAGCTGGTGCTGCTGCTGCTGTTGCTGTTAGATGCTTTGGCAGATTATACGTAATTAAGGCCGTCTTGTTTTTCATCTAATTCTTACCTTTTTTCGTAGGATTCTGTTTTTGTTATTTTTTTAATTTTCGGTGTATTTGGCAAAGCTCATGAAGCCCTCAATAATATGCAATTCAAGCATTCACAATTCCCCATCACTCCGATACTCGACAATGATGACGATGACGACGTCAACGGTCGCTAATTCACGGCGATGATTATTATAAGTTTCTCTTTGGAATTTTTGTTGTTGTATTTTTGCTATGTGTTTTTCCGTCGTTTCTGGTTGTTGTTTTTCGTTACTTCTGTTTAGTTTTGATTTGCTCATTTCTTTTGAAATAAATAAATTTTTCTTTCTTTCACTTTTCTTCCGTTTAGATCTATTTTATGTTCACTGAACTTTTTTCACGACAGTTTTCTTTTTCACGTTCATTTCTTTCTGATCGCTCTCTTTTTCTCGCTCTCGCTGTTTTTGGAAAGTCAATTCCGTAAAAATTAATTGTTCTTGTGGGTTTGGCTCTGTGGCACTCTCCGGTTCACTCTTATAATAGTTCTTTTGGTGTTGTGTATGTTTTTTTTATGTATTTTATTTTATTCTTATGCGGTGTAGATCACGTTTCTTGTTTCCTTTGGCCATGGGTTTCATTTGCATTTTGCGCCGCTCTGAGTTGATGTCGCATTTTATGTATGTGTCTCTTGTTCACTCTCTCTCTGTCTCTTGAACTACGGTCATCAATCGGCACTCAGAATGAACGAGCGTGCGCGAGTGCGATGTTCGCCTATTTCTTCGCATTGAGGTGAATGAAATAAAAAAGAAGAGTTGTTGTATATGATCGTTTGTTGTTTTGTTTGTTTGATTCGTTTTTTTTTTTTCACAGTGTATATCGCGCGCAGTTGGCGGCGCCAGAATCCGTGTCTCTTTCACTCACTTGCTCGTTGTGTGATTCTAAATTTGACACAATCCAAATAAACCGGTTGGCCACAAAAACCACAAATCCGGCGAGCGGTTCACAACACACAAGTTGTGTGACACAACACCACCGTGAAATGAAACGTTAGACTTCAATGTGTTTATGACTTTAAACATTAAAAAAAAAGCTGTGTCAATTTGAAAATGCAGATTGCCGTGTATAAAACTCACACAAACACACACGAGCCGAATTGCACTGTGAAATAAACCCCAAACGGTAACTTATTGACACTGAATTCCAAATATCGATTGCGTAAGTCGAATCGATTTCATTTGCGCGTTGCTCGTTTGTTTCACTCTTTTTTTTGTTCTCTCCAGTGTTTTTTTTTGTCATTTAGTTACATTGATTTGCTAATTTATTTTCTGTCGAGGTGTTGATAACATGCACATTTATGTGTCTTCTTTGATTTCACGATGAATGACGCAGTGGTGGTGGCAGCATATTCGATTACCAACAACAGCCGATTTAGCAGAAAAAAACGAGGAATTAACAAATAAAATGAAACGATTGAACAAGTCTTCACCTTTATTATTTTTTAAGATACAAAGAACAGTACAAACAAACGAGAGAGCGAAAAAAAACACTTAAACCGAGAAACCTTTTCAACATTTAACCGATGAAATGGCCAACGAAAATTATTTCGATTTTTTTTTAACAAACACGACGAACGTTTAATTTTTTTTAAATTCAAACACAAAAACCCAGAACAATTTGTTTCTGTCACCACAAAGTTGGAAAACTCCGAAATAAATGAAACAGATAGAACGAAAAATGACATGAAAATTCGATTCGTTTTTTTTTTCGGGAATCGTCACTGGATCTATAGACCGTCGCAACAGTGTTACAAACTAAACTATTCTGGCAAACGTGTGCGCAACCATTGAACACTCATTTCAGCTCTCTGTCGGATTACTGTTTGCGCGCTATGTGCGGCTCATTTCGGGCTTCTGTCAATTGCATACGATATATTTTATATGTTGTGAGTTTTTTTTTTGTATTTTCATACAACAAATTTACATATAGAACCGAGTCGAGTCGAGTGAGCGAGCGAACGAGCGCGCAGTGTAAGCAGCGGATTTTTTGGATTCTCTTTCGCACACGCGCGCACATATACTACACAGTTCACTGTCGAATCGCATTCGCCGCAAATCGGAATAGAAAAATTGTGAATACAATGAAAAAAAGCAGCAACAACAACAACAGCAAGCATGAAAGCAAGCAGCAACGACGACGACGACGAAGAAGAAAAAAGCAAAACAAAACCACATTCAACACTCTCGTTACACACAGTGTGTCGTGATCGTGTCCGTACCGGAGCACCAGCAACTGCTGCTCACACAACGGCATAGAATGAACGGGAAAAAACGGAGAAAAACTCGATTAAATTATACACATATACTCGAATGAGAGACAGAGAAAGACGCATTGAATGAGAAGAAGAGACAAAGCAAGAAAGCAAAACAACTCTCCAGACAACATACACTCACTCACTCGCACACACGCACAGCAACAGAGACAGAGAGAATGCGCGTGAGGCAGAAAGAAAATTAACCGAAAATAAATACTAAAGAAATGTCCATATATGAGCATTTTTCAAGAAAGAGACAAATCCAACATGAAAACCTACCAAAAAACAGCAACAACACAACAATAAATAAAAACCAAACAGTTAATGCACGAAGTGAAGAACGTTTGCGTCGTGTTGTTGTTTTTACTTACAATATATCTTCATCGTTGTGTAGAGAGTCAGAGAGCAGCATGTACGTACATCGTACACACACACACACACACACACACACACACAAATATATGCGATGACTGCTATTTGTCTCCGGCTTGCGTCGATTTGTGTATTGTGTTGTCGTTTTGTTGGCTCTCCATGGCTGCTGCTGCTTTGGCTGTTGTTTATTTGTTTGTTTGTGACTCAACGCACACCAAAGAATTAAATAGGTTTCCTTTTTCATATTTCACTTGGTGTGGTGTACTACTTTTCGCCGGCTGATACAATTTTCTCTCTCTCTCCTGTACGCGTTGTTCTGCTTGTGGTCGTTGGTTCAGGATTTGGTTGTTTTTTTTTATCATCTAATGTGTCTCCTTTGTTTGTTCCCGTATGTATTCGTAGGGAATCACATGTATGGTTTCGTCCATGTGTACATTGGCAAAAAGGTAAATGTATGGCTGTTTCTTTTTCTTCTTCTTGCGATCGGTCTATTCAAATTGCTTGGCATGTGTATTGGAAGCGCATATTGAACATGGTTTGGTGCACACACAGACAATTTTAATTTTTTTTTACCTTTTTTTTAAGTAGCTATTTATTTGATTCCACCTTTTTTCCAGTCTATATATTATTTATCAGTCATTTTTCACTCGATGAATTTGGTTTTTTTTCCCCGAACATTTAATATGTATCGAAGGAGCAGCTGCTGTTGCTGTTCCGTGTGTGTGTGTGTGTGTGTGTGTGTGTGTGTGTGTAGACGAATCAACGTGCAATGAGAGAAAGGAGAATGCATGAAGAGGAACCAACAATCATTTTTTTTCACTCTCTGTTTAAATATAAAATAGCAGCTTGTGTGTGTGCAATATGCGATCTTGTTTTAGCCCTAAAATATAATGGATAATGCACACATTATTGAAGCATTTTCCATCTGATATCATATCGTCGACCGTTGTCGTCGCCACTGCCTGTTATTTCAACGATCAACATGCGCGACCGTTCAGTTTTTGTTGTGTCCCTTTTGCGGTTTCATCAAATTACATGCATTAATAAAAGTTTGATACGTGCGGCTCGCCAATTACCGTGCTCGAAAAACTGAAGCCTGCCATATTCGTGCCATATGATTGTTTTCTCCTTCTTCTTCTTCTCCTTCGTTCCTCTTCATCGACAGTTGAAATTCAACTGCACTAATTGGAATTTTTAAAACAAACCCAGCCTCACACCCAGCGCCATCTACATATTCAATACCAAACTTCCACTCTTTGCTGTAGAAACCACAAGCAACCGAAACTTGGATTGGTTGTAATCGAAACTCAAACTTGAATATCGACACATTTCTACATAATTGCGATCATCGAGTATATTAATCAGAGGCTATCTTACGTGATTTAGACTCGGTAAAATGACCAAACGGATTATCCTTTTCGCATTGCAAACAGTATCATCAAACTGAAAAATTATTTGTATCGTTTAATTTAATGAGTAAAAAAAGAAGAAGAACTAGAGAGAAAACCAAAAAGAGAAATAAAATAAAAGTTGAGTGTTTTTGTCTGTTTTTTTATTGATTAAAAAGGTAAGAAATTACAATATTAAAATGTTCAAAATTAACTGAACATTTTTCTAATATCTATGTAAGAGGATGAAGTGACAACAGTATTTCATTGGATTGTTTGAATTTCATAAAGCTGTTTATGTTTTTTTTGCAATTGTTGTATATAATTTAGTCTAGTCTGATCAGGAATTATATGAATTTCACAATAGTTTGGCTATGTGAAGAATCAACCTGTCATTATGGGCATATAAATGCATTATCAATTACCATTTTCAATGGGCACTTTTACACCTCGTTCAAATATTGAAGCCACGTGTGACTCTTTGAGTAACACTTGATGATTGGCTTCGATAATTTTTATCGCTAAATCAACTGGATTTTCTTCGAACTTGCATTGGCCAACACAATTAGAAATTGCTTCAGAGTATTTACGTCTTCTTGGTTTCACAAATCCTTTCGGTTCTATAACACCTTCTTCAAATGCACTATCCTGTTCTGGAGTTCTTGGACATGGGATCAAACCCAAAAATCCGCAGTAAGCATTTTGTTCGTCATCACTTTGAAAGTACATTGCACCCGAGTAGAATTCAAATTGAACTTCGTCTTGAATGTCGATGGTATTATTTTTGATCATTTTAGTCACTTGAAGTCTTTTATTGTGAACCAAGTTACTGTGCAATTTGCTCAAGCGAGGTCGATACATGATCAGCGTTGATTTTGAACTTTTTCGAAAAATTGGCAACAAACGATCGCATTCGTGTGAGCTAAGAAGCACGGAAATATTTTTGCCGAATGGATTTTTGATGTGTGCAATCCACCAAACTGGGCGCAGAAATTCATCACAAGCCTTCGACGGACTACCTATAACTGTTTGATAATCTTTGGTAACAAACAAATGGCTACCCCAAGCATTTTTAATGTTTCTACAGAAATGAGGCAATTTTGTGTGTGACAGACTCGCTCCAACGGAAATTAATGTGTATTCGCTTTTCATATTATCATCAATAATACCAGTTACGCCGTTGAGGATTAAATCCCTTAATTTCGGATTGTAGTTTGGATTAGCTGGAAGTTGTCGTGGTGGGCGCTCTACGGACCGTTGCTCCTCTATCTCTTGCTCTAGTTCTTTTTCTTGCTCTTCATCAAGCGCATTTGAAAATTGTTTCACATTTGGAGCAAGTTTGTTCAATTTGTCATCTACGTTCGTTTGCATGTCTCGAACAACCGAAAGAATCGGCCTATTTCGTTTATGTTTTGTAGCAAGTTTATCGTATTTAGCCCATGCGACTTCGGTGAGCATTGACTCTTTTTTATCGCCATACATTTCACTGAGTTTTGCAAACTCATCGTCACACACGAGCTCGTACAGCTTTTCCATGGACTCTTTATCGTTTGTATTTTCGAAGAGTTTGTGTCCAATGAGTTTTTTTGTGTAGTTTACAGAAGAAGCGGTCCAGTGAACCATGTTTGTGATCACAAATTGTTCACTATTGCGACAAATGAATTTGATTACATGTTCGTTTGTTACACAATCCTTAGATGATAATCTACTGGTTTCTCGTATGCGAACATCAGCTTCATATGATGCCCAAAATGAAATGGATTGACCTTTTCCCAATTGACGCATTCGCATGCACGATTGAACAGTTTTATCGCGTGTCATATCTCCAGATAAAGTGACACAAGCTTTCCATTCCGGTGGGAATTTCAAATCCGTGCCACGAGTGTGCGCATCATCTAAGTACACCAGGCAACGCTTTAAATTCTCACGATAAACAGAACAATCGAATTCAGTTTTAATACCCTTGCGATCAATAGTTTGTAGAATATCATTCGAGTCAAAATAAACAGATGCTTCGTAGTTTGGTTCAGCTTTTGATAACCACTCAACGGCAACCTGTTCATTAGTCAGCTCGAGCATCAAAGCTCCCGAATCTAGAAGAACTGGAATTCGTTTTTCTATCAACTTATCAAGTATCTTCTTTCCGCTCACGTTTGGCAGCAGCGCCTCATATGATCGATTTTCTGGTTTAAGCAGTATTTCGCGCATAATTTCATTTGTATTTTCGAGTTTCTTCAGATCATTTTGTGCAATTGGCAACGGAAGAATATGTTGCGTGTCGTTGGTTCCACTAAAACCGGTGACACAATGATCAAATTGGTCACTGCACAAATCCCAAGCCGAACACATAAGCTAGAAATGAAGAAAAAAAAACTCAAAATAACAAAGTTTCAAAAAGTAAAACTATTAAGAAATAAACCTTTTGCTCAAATGTCTTCGCTTCATGTTGGAAGACAACGTTCGAAAGCCAAAAATCGATAACATGCATGTTAAAACGTAGCAACGGAAATAGTAAGCGTTCACGTTGATTTGTGTCATCTAAATTAACGCCAGTGTATGATACAATTGATGAGTCTCTCAGTTCCGATGGAATACTTTGGATCCATTTTTCATATATCACCGATGACCCTTGTTCGCTTTCGAGCACTTCAAACACTTGATACAATTGGTCGTCATCTAGGCCTGTAAATAAATGCAAATAAGATCACATATGGATGACTCAGTTTTATAATTGAAATGCAATGATTTTAAATCATAAATATCGACCTGAATAGTAATAGCTTAGTTGGGTAAAACAAATAGCTGCATCTGGATGTCCGAATTCGGTCATTTCAGCTGCAACATCCTTTGCCTTGAATGGTATGGCCATTTTGCGTTTTCCTTTTTGTGTTTTATCGACGCCATAGTTAACACGCCAGCGTTTCGTCAGAACCAATTTTAAGACTTCAAACCGCAACAGCCCACTTAGAATCATGATTGTATTACGCTCCTTCAACGGAAAGTTCCCAATCATTAGCAATGATTTTTTATCAATTTCCTTTTGTTTTAGCACATCCTCCAAATCGCTTTTCATAGATGGATCAACCGAGAAGGCAACTTGAAGTTCACCCTTAAGGAAGTCTTCGACTAGACGAGCTTTTAAATCATCAAAAATTGTTTCATCGAGAATTCGACATGGCATGAATACGTCTGATCGATAATTAACTTTTGGCGCTCCAAAAACGTGACCCTTTTCAATATATTGTTCATCAAATTCAATCTTTGATTTCCCGTACTTTTTATATAGTTTTTTCATATGGAATGGAACGCGTTTCAAAATTGCTTGAGTCACAAACCATCTTTCAAACCCGCCGTCAGGCGATAATTGATTGCCAACCGTGTAAATCAGTTGATATTTTGGCTGTAAAATTGCGTCGGATTCATCCAAAAGGTTTCGTACGTTTGTATTAATCCACTTATGAACATCCATGAAGCTTTTAGCGACGTTGATGTGTCCTTTTTGTATCGATTCATATATTTTAAGTTGAAATGATAGTCGATATTCCGGTAGGGTGAGAATGACTCCTGTAAAAAAAAATTCGCTTAAAAAAGATCAAATGACATCAATGAGTTTTCTTACCTTTTTCCCTTTTGCATTCCTCATAAATGTTCAGCAGGGCTTCGACGTGCTGTTCGATTTTCATGTCTCGACGACATGGAAAGGTATAGATCCGCCGATTCAACATTCCTCCTAGATATTGCCGTAGTGCCTTGAGATTTGTTGCAAATAGTGATTTTAGAACGGTTATTTGGCAAGCCTGAGTGCCATCGGCCAAAACAGCAGCCGAAATCGGTACAATAACGGCAGTTTTCCCTTCGCCCATATTCAATTGCATTACGGAGTGCTTGGCATTGACTCCTTCTTTCTTCGGTGGTTCGATCATTCGGTTTGCAATTTCGATTTGAATTGGACGTATTGTTAAATTCTGTTCGATTTCAAATATGAGCCATTCGGGACGGTCACATGGTTTCCAATTAGAATGCGGCTTATTTTCTCGTTCTCTGTTCATCAAACCCTTTAGTTCTGGTCGTTGTGAATAGATCTGAATGCGTTTTTCACGTTGCTCACGCGCTATTGCTATGGCCCAAGCGCCAATTAAAGCTTTCAATCGATGATCTGTTTCTGTGCCGATTATTTTGGGTAAAAGGAAAGTCGGAACCAGTCTCGGAAATATTCCAGCTTCAATCAGATGTTGTGTCTTTTTCGAGTTGAAAACATTGTCAATAACATACCACCATTGATTTGCAGAACGTGATGACTCCTTTTTCATCTCCCATGAATGCTGTGCTTCATTGATTATCGCTTCAAATGTGCTTAAATTTGGTTGCACTACTCTGTCGAAATCCATTTCGAATTTTCCCCAATTTTGAGACACATCTTTCAGAAATGGCGTGTAATACGGTAGCTTATGGTTTAACGTTGGCAGTGATTTTAAGCGTTCTTCAACATTTTTTATGAAGATTTCAAGCTTTCGATTATTATTCCAAATGACAAGCAGTCTATTTATTGCTTCATTAGCGCCTTCAAACTCAAATTCAAATACGTGTTGGCCACGATTCCAGGATTTGCTCAAAACGACTGAATCGCATGGCCAACATTTTGTAACTTTCTCTGTTAACCGTTCTATAAGTTCTTCAGCGAGAGTCTCACTCTCCATTTCAGTGTTTTCAAATGTTTCAATAATTTTTCTTAGCTTCATGTGGTGATTTATGTCACATTTGCTTCGCAGTAAATTCGACACTTTACCGGCATCATAGGTACCAGCTGAAAGTTCATATTGTTCGACTGGTGGTGGATTTAAATCTTCAAACGCACTTGGGTTCATAGCAACGGCTTGCAATGCCAAAATTGGTTCGTATTTCTCTTTCTGATGGGTAAATAGGGTTAAAATCAAAGTAAGCTGTGTTTGACTGAGTTCTTCATTACGGACAGCATCGTAAATAGAAATCCACCAATCAGAAACTGGATCGTATTTACTATGGATGAGAAGACAAGTAACATGTTCTCGGTTTGCAAGCCCGTTCAAAACCTTACATTTGCCAGTTAAAAATGTGCTTAAATTCGGATTCGCTGGTACGACGTATTTTCGGCTGTGATACAAGGTGGACACAGTCTGTGTGTTAGTGCAAAACGATGTTTTAATCAGTGTTGGTAACGAGGTTGTCAACGTTTTTTGTTTGATAAACGCATCGGACACACACAAATTCGGGTTTAATTGCAAACAGCGTCGATATTCTCGTTCATTCAATTTCAAATCCATTTTAGAATTGAATGTTTGTGCTGCATCCTTGAAATACAGTCCATGTAGGCGTTGACTATTCTCAAGCAATTTTTTGACGATAAAAATAAACGAATCCTGAGCTGAACTGCGCGGAATATTGTTTGGCCATTCAATGATTTGTCTGTTATCGACGAGCTTTCGGATTGGTGACAATTTAGCAATTTCATTAAGAATATGTATGGCTTCTGGTTCGTATGGAGCCGAAGACCAGGCAAAAGCAGATTGTAAAATTTGCAGTGCTCGTTCGGTGCCTGACATTCCCGTAAACGGTTCAATTTCACCGTGCGATGTGATTGCATGTAAATAAGCCAGGTAGAACCAGGATGCATGACTACTATTGTTAGATTTCAGTTGCTGGCAAAACTCGTCCACTTGATATTGATAGAAGTGCGGTTTTCTTAAACTGGGCCCAATGTCAATGTTTACAGTAACATCCAAATTGTTCGTTTCGATTCGAACATTTCCATGGGGGATGAGTAATATTTTGGTGTTTGAATTAGAATCAATGCTTATGCTTTCCAGAATCAAACCATGATTTAGTCCACATAAAGTGCCGATTTTTTGTGCGCGGGCGATACGCATCCCGATAAATTCATTTGAAATTAAATCGTATTGCTTTCGTGGCACTTTCGAATAGTGAATCTTGAATTTTAGATTCATTCGCATCAGTTCCACCACGGCCTCTTTTGGGCTATTCATCAGCACATGGATATAATTGAAGTGTTCCAAACGCGACAATTGATTCACGATTCTACAATAACTGCCACTTTTTACATCGACCATTGGCCGACTTGTTTTTATATGTATCAAACGATTTGTTGCTAAATCTAATCGATAATCAATTGTGGTTTCTTTGGAAAAATGCTTCTGTCCAAATGTTCTCACCCGAAATTCGATGCAGTTTTCCTTCTTATTCCACCAGTGACTGTAATTCAATGCAAGTGAATTCGGGAAATCATCTCTAAAGATATAATGAGGAAGGAGCTCTTTCTCCAAACCTTCATCCGTTCGTTCAGTGATGATGGTATCGTTTTCATTCTTTCTAAAGTTATAGCTACAATCATTGTGCTTTTGGAGAGTGGAAAAACTATTTTCAGCATCTGGTTGCACTGGAAACGTTGTTTGCCCAAAGAACCACTGATAAAGTTCGTTTTGTATAGTGTCAGTTGGCAGACGTGACACCGGTAGGCCTTCCACAGAAAATGCACCGGTGATTATGTCAATGGTGATGGTCTGTGAGACATGCATCTGTGAACCGTAGTCGACGATGTATTCAGCAGCTAAAATTTGTGGATATTCAGTTGAAAAATAGGCTCGCATGAATTTTGCCGTATCAGCACGCATCCATTGTTTCTTAATTAGCTTTTCTACATCTCCAGCATGTATAATAGCCTTTATTTTTGGTTCCAAATACACACCGTTAGTTTCAATCATTCGAAGGAATAAACGTAGATTTGATGGCAATTTATCTTCATTATTTTCATAGAGATGAATATTATTCTTCAAACTAATGATAAACTGCAACCACAACTGAGCCGCTGATAGTCCATTCTCATTATCTCTTAGAATTCCTTCGTAAAATTTATGCGTTGGATGAACGAAAAACGTCAAACTACCGGCTATTGCCACAAAAATTAGTTTCAAACGTAGATCGCGTTCATTTTTTTCATCAACATTGTGCATATCAGATATGGTCTTTTCGATTTTGTCAATCCAATCTAATGCAATACGCCGAATGTGCGCCAACAATTCCACATATTCATCCGCTAATAAATCGTGATCGTTGATTTCAAAAGCACGAATGGCGATTAAAGTGGCCATAACCAATTTCAATGGATGCACCCAATTATCTTTTTGTTGTTCGATGAATTTCGTAAGGAGTTCGATCATTGTTGTACAAAATTCTGCATCGTTGAAATCAACATGAGACTCTCGAATGAATTTACCGTCGCCACTGACTCCGCATTCCCACAGAGTTTGCATGATAAGCATTAAGACCGACTCCTTTTCAAATGACAATGCTTCAGTTTCAATCATAGCATACAATTTCCGTAACTGCAACCGATGACTATCGGCACGAAGTGAGCCAAAATTCTTGAATTCGGACAATGACATGTTATGTGGACATTCAAATTGACGTGACAGCACTTGATTCTGTGTGTGCGTTGTACTGTTCAATGTCCATTGTAGACCCAAATATTCGTCTTGCGTTTTGAATGTGCACACGGTTTTGATTGCATTATCTGGTAGTGAAGTTGGTATACTTTTATTTTCAGCAAATAACATGCAATTTGATGTATTTTTAACGATGAATGCTTCAAATGAATAGCTTACATGATGTTCGGACAAATGTTGTTTCCATGTACTGCCGAGGCTAACATATTCATTTTGACAATGTGACTTGTTGAACTCTGATAGTTCCGAACGCGCTGCCCAATTGATTGTCAATTCTCGAGCATTTATATTGGATTTACTACAAAATTTAGTCAATCCATACAGAACATCCCTTAAACAAGCGATTTTATTTGGGATGTTGAACTCAAACACAATTGCAAACTGTTTAAACTCTTCCTCTGGCAACAAATGCTCATATTCCCTCATTTTCACACGATCTGACTGCAATTTCAAATTGCATTTGGTGCAATAGTTGCTGTTGCTGTGACGATAATTTCCCCATCGATTCGTGAAATAGTGATGTTCCAATTGATTGGCTCTCTCTCTGAGATTCTCAACTCTTGCACGACCTTGTTCCAATTCCAATCGTTTATTCTCGATGTTATATTCATTCATTTTCAAAATCCGTTTCCGAACTTTTTTCATGCCTGAATCTTGCATCGCAAATTTCACTGAAAATGAATTTTCGCTAATGGTGTCTTCTTCAGTTAATCCCGGATGGCGTGCACAATCATTACGTCGACGAAAGTATTCCTCTAATTCAAAGGCAATTTGCATGTCAGCACGTTGAGGTATCAATAACGAATTAACCCAATTTGGATTGATTCCGCTGCGATGCCCTTGAAGCAGCGGATATTCGCTTATACAACTTCGGTCTAATACGGAGACCATTTTAGTGAGAACCAAAATCATTTTGCTGATGAGCAATTGATTTTCCTTGTATTTTTCATCCGCATATTTAGCGTATCCAAAAAACCATGTGCGCAGTTCGTTCGCTGTCCAACGATCATCATTCATATTCATTTCATATAAAACCACATTTTCAAATTCAACTCAATAAATTCGGTTACCGAGCTCATCTTTTACCATTGAAATTGTTTCAATCCCTGGACACTGTTTTAAGTTGTATCGCCGATAGGATTGCACTTTGTATTTCGACTTATTGTCTTTTCTCGCCACCTGTTGCATTCTTTTACTCACATATTGTTGCAGTTTTGGCATTTTATGGCATATATCCGAATCAAATTTCAGGTCAATTAATGGCGGTAATTGGGATTTTTGCTCGTCCATTTGGTGGATTGATAGAGTTCGACCATTAATTTCACCACGAAATTTTTGTATGGTCTCTGTGGCTTCGTCAACGATAGAAGTATACAAATTGATTGCATTTGCTACCTTTTGTCCTTTTTTTACTTTCATTTGCGACAACTTCTCGATTCGACGACCCATTTTAGCTATCATCTGGGACAATAATTCATTGTTGACAGTCATGCCTTTCGGTTCCATGTAAAACTCACACATTCGAGTTAAAAATTTCAGCATGATAATTTTGTAGCAGATTTTTCCCAATTCGGGGCCCAGTTGCATCGTGAGGTTGTGTTGAAGTAAGACTTTTACGCTCATATAAAAACTAGACCGACGAAAGTAGTTTTTCTTCTCCTTACCACGAACTTCGTCTCGAATCTTTTTCGTAATAAATGGAAATTCCTCTGCAGAAGCTGTTGTGCTTTTTACATCCGCTAGAAGCGTAAGTAACCATTCCGATACGTAGTTGCGAGTTTTAGTTTCAATTGGCAATTCCCCAAACAAAAAGCACAACTGTTGTGCAAACTCCTCTGAACGCAACATGCGCGAATATTTTGTTTTGATTGCTTTCATTGGATAGCTAAACTGTTTTAGAAAAAACATAATACAAATAATACGGTTTAATCAGTAATTTTTAGTCCTAAGATAATTCATATTCATCTTTTTGCGCGAATTAAATTGAACTGCATTTTGATTAAATCATTTGAATACATACCTGCATATCGCTTTCAGCCTTATATACTTCGCTTGGATGGAAATTGCCCGGAAATGTTGCTAAAATTACTTGTTGCGATTTTTTTATGTCGATGTCGTCATTTGGCAGCATATAAACCATGAAGGTAGTATTCTGGCGACGCACGAACATGGCAAATGTATCACCTGGATGCAACGAATTAATCTCATTCGATACAACATCTGGTGTGCATTTGAGATGAATTGTCTTCAATCTTTTACAGAACTCGACCGTTTTAATTGGTAGACATTTCGCTAAATTCTCAACAGTTTCGACCATATGAGTCATTAGCTTCAATTCAATGAATCGCGGTGGCTTATCTTGGGGAAGATCACGCGATAAAATAACATGGTTCAATAAATTCTCCCGAATTTCTGGAGTGTCACTCACAGTAGCATCATCCATTTTTATTTGTGGGCGTTTTGCTGTAAGAATAAGAACAACAATTCTAATAAACTTGGAAAGAAAGCAAAGAGAATCAGATAATTTTAGTGCCCAAATGGAAGTCAACGGAAAAATTATATATATTGAGTAATAAAAATTTAACGTTTGAAGTCTAATTGAATATTGTTTGTATGTTTTAAGTATATTCTAGACAAAATAAGTACACTCGATTGTTATTACACCAATAAAACGGAGCTGTTTCATTTATAAATGTATATAATATAGTGCATTGTTATCGCAATTTTTCAATAGCTCCTTCAAACCTCAATACTGCGTCAGCATTCAGAATAAATAAAACATTGAACCGATTTGTTTTAAAACGAGCGATGTTTAAAAAAATTCTGTTCTGTCAGTCCCTAATATTTAACTGAAATGAATTTTATAACAAAAGTGTACTGTAAACAGAGCTGTTTCACAAATGCATGCAAAACCGATAACAAATGATTGCTCAATGCAAATATAATGTTTTGAAAAGCAAAAAATGGTCTTTACTTTTGAAAATCGATTCTATCTACACTAGTACAATACAATGTATATTCGCTATCGATTGAGTGAGGAAGTTGAGTGTTTTTCTACGTATCTTATCCATTTGTTTAAAGTCAGCTGCAAGTCAGTTTAGACGCCGTGTGATTCAATGATCTCAACTATAGCAACAAAGTATATTGTATGAAAAATAAATGAAAAAAAATCTTAATCCAGACATCTCACAATCCATTTGACTTTTCTGATTCTATTTTCGCTGAAGTTGTAAAAAAGGGGATATGTTTTGCACTGTATTCATGACCACGGTTTTCGGAGCATTTGAGAAATTTTGGTTTTTCATTGTAATAAATGTCTAATATATTTGTAATTTATTGTCTCCGATGGTTGCTAAGACATGATTCCATTTTGAAATAAGTTAATCGTATGCAAATAATCAAGACATTGTATTGTATTGTGAGAACGGCGTTATATCAATTGTCGCAACTATTGTGATTATTTCATTCCTATGAGAAAAAAATTGATTCGATTACAAAAAATAAAAATAAAACCTATTAAAGTATGAAACTATCCTGTTTCAGTTTCTTTGTTCAATAATAAAGTAAATCAGTCACTTTCTTATTTCTTCAAAATACAAAAAAATGGAGGTTTCTAATTTTCAACAAGCCTCTTTCGGTTTCAAATAAAGTTTTTAAACATGTAGATTCAATTTTTTCTCTCAATACTAGCGAAGTTGAAAGAAATTTCTCATCGAGAACAAAATCCAAGGAAGAAAAGTAATGAAAATGCTGAATTTCAGGGAAAAATAGTTGTTACAAACCTGTCCTAGCACCCAAATATGATAAGTTATAGGAATGCTTTCGAGAGAAAAATATTTTTCATTTTCTTTTTGCTTCTTTTTTTCACAATAAAGTCTAAAACTATATTCAATCTAATATTGTTTTTCAAACTGTTTTTTTTTAATTTTTTTTCTAATCTTAAGGTAAACAGATCAAAATCTTAAATGCAAAAAATGATACATTCAGACAATCTGAATTGAGGATCCACTATTCAGTTATACAAACTTAATAATCCACTTTACACCAAAATACTAAATATTCACGAAAAAATGATTGTTATTGTTAACACTTCCATAGGATACGTTGGAGTGATCGAATAGAGCAACGAATTTCATCACATTTCGTCATTTTTTTCGAAGTCTACTGTTGTCGAACTACTGCGAGACATTCAGTGCAAGACATATAAATGTGTGTATGCTTTAATGTACGGAAACGATCGTATATAGCATTTAAAGAAAAAATAAGAAAAGAAATAGGGTGTCACCAAATCAGGCCAACCTCAATCTGAATGAAATATATTCCAATTGTTCTGAAAATATGACATGTGAACAATCTTTTGAAATTATTGTTGGCCTAATTGCTGTAATAGAAAGTGAAAAGGTTTTTCGTTTTCGCCATACCCCAAATATCAAACTGATTTTTGTTTGTAACTTTGCTAGAAATGGTTCTTGACTAATCTGTCAAACATATACCAATACATTGCGCCTGAAAGGCACATAGATGTCGCTGGCAGTCAGGTTTCTCTCAATATAAAAGATATGGTTTTCGCGCATACACCCTGCTTTTAGAATCGACGAGAAAGCGTTCGTGCAATACTTAGACATTTTTATCACCCAGTGTACACTGTACACTGTACACTGTACATATATTGAGCGATCGTTGCACGCAAATCGTTTCTCTTCGGTTCCAGTCGCGGACTTCGCATATGCGCGACACTCTCATACGAACGAACGTAAAATAAAACACAAACAATTCGGTTCAATATCTGGAAATGAATAACATTCACTTATGTCGCTTCTAAGATTGTTTTCTTCAAGCAAAACGAATTGGACTGAACGTTTATTGCTTTTTTTTTAATTGCCTTTAAATTTGGGAGCATTGTTGGATTGTTACGAAATATGAAAAGAAATGAAATACAATCCTTCTTCTCAGAACAAACATAAAAATTATATGTCCAACATCACAGCCGGCGACAGTAGACGCGAAGAAATAATTAACATCACACAGTTACGCCGTCCAATCTGAGTTTGAACACTGATGGTTGGTAATAAATTTTACTTAGAGTGATCATATTTTCGAGACGAAATGATTTGTGCTTCAAATTTTTCTGAAGAAATTTCATCCAAGGATCAAAAATGCGTTTGGAACTTTTATGCATTGAGAACAGAAACAAATTCTTCACTATCGTACATATCTTTTAATTCCAAGCAGCCACTTTTGTTCAGCTGTTCTTTTGAAGAATCGACCTTGTCGACAAACGACGGATGTGATAGTCATATTGAATGCTCGAAGGGCCACCAATGGTGACTTAACTGCTTCAAAGGCGAGGTAAAAGTATGAATATCCCATTCAATAATCATAATCTATTAATTTCTTGAACTCATCACATGTGTGAAAATGCGACTTCAATTTTTAATGAAATCATTATTTCATTATGTTTATTAGAAATAGCCATGGTCACAGAGGTGCAAAAACAAGACGTAATTAATGGAAAATTCTAAATATATTAGTTTTCCAGAGAGAAGTGTGTGCCTCCAAATCGTAAACAATGTTGGAAAACGAAATTCGGTTCAAATTGTCTATCTAAAAAAGCAGTGAGACTCACTCCAAAATTCATCAATCAAGTTCATTAGCTAAAACTTTCATAAACTCTGGAGTGAAATAAATTGTCCGTTTGAAAACCATTTTGTTGATTGCCGTTATCATTTGCAGTGCCAACGCTGCCGCTACGTGCAATGGGCCGATAGACGTGAGAAATTTGCTTAACCCTTTGACGACCAAAACTGAACGGCTGGGAATTTTGCAATTCTGATTGCAGATTCGTGCTCAGCGACCCCAAAAATATTAGCAAAAGTGTTATCAAAAATTAATTTTTTTAATTGCAAATATGAAAAAAATGATGGGACATATGTGTTCCATTGGTCGGTAAAGGTAACTATTTACCTTTATTTTTCTATGAAAAAAACATGTCTCCCATAAGAACTACGTGTAAAATCTTTTCCATTTTTAAAATTTATAGAATCGTTTTAAACCAAAAATGGTTTGAATCATGCTTTGTTGTGCCCATTTAATCACGAATTTAACGATCTTTTTGTAAATTTGTGTGTTTCGAAATTCGCAAAAAGTGGTTGAAATACAGGGAAATCAGTGGTAATTATTTACCTTTACCGACCAATGGGACACATATGTCCCATCACGCCAAAAGCAATAAAAATTTGAAACAAAATTTTTTGTAGAAAAGGCGATTATCCTTAGAAAGTAACAGACACTCCGTACAACATTTCCAATTTTCAGCTTTAAAAATTGTACCCTTCAAATTATATAGGGTTTGGCGGAATTTGAAAAAAAAGTTAAGATTTTTCGACTTTGAAGTGTTCTATTTGAGCACAGTGATGTAAAATATCCAATATTATGGTACTATCTGGTAGCTACATTCATTCTCTTTCAAAAGAAACCAATTTTATCGAAATCGGTCTAAAAATGTGGAAATTATTGACGAAAAACAAAATGGGACATATGTGTCCCAAAGGTCGTCAAAGGGTTAAATGAACTCGATCAAATCGCTAGAAACAGAATAACCTTATTTGAACTTCCTTTTCGAAATAGGTAGCACGTCGGGCGTTCGTTAATTATTGCTGTTCGATTTCCAACTTAACCAATGAACAAATGGTTGAATTGAAGAAAGAGGAACCAGTAAGTGAAATGATGTCTTGTAATAGCGCATCTTTTTTATTATGAAGAAATCGATTTTTAATTTCTTCTCCACCTTTTTTCACTTAGGATCACATTTTGACTAAAGAGCAGAATGATTTCCTTTGCTGTTGGTCAAATCCCTTGGTGAGCAAATTAAATAGTCCAAACCAACATCGAATCAAACCTGTAATTGCATGTGAACTAAACATTTTCCACTCATTTTAGATTTTCGTTGGAAAGCTAGTCAAGACACCCCTGGCAAAAATACGTGAATGGTATGATGAAAATGCCAAAATTCCAACCGCTCAAATGATAACCGAATGCGAAGATTTTGTTGGAATAAGTGGAAGCATTGTTGATTCATGCAATGTTGAACCGAAAAGTGCACAATTCGTTCATTGTTTCACTGCAAAATTGAATGCAGCAACAAATGGCAAACTTTTTGACTTGTAACATGTGTATGGTTAAATAAATGACTTCCATTAACCATTTAATGCGCAATTTTTTTATTTGTGAATAATTTTGATAAATGTTATGTGTCACGATAAATAGAGAAAAACCCCATATTCAACTATGAGTTTATTTTCATTTTCCATTTTATTGACTTGTAATAGGATGGAAAACCAGATGAATCCCAAATGAATTATTCATAATTTGAAGTGATTCTCCAAAATATGGATTATTCTTATGCAAAACGGTTACAGACCAAACTATGATTCTTCCACGATTTTTCATACAAAAAATGCTATAAAGTTTAGTTTGGTCTGTAACTTTTTGAATTTGTTAAGAAATTTGGAATCTATTAAATGGTAATGTGGAAAAGGTGTATTTCAATTGAATACGACCATCGGTGGAGTGAATTTTGTCAAACAAATGATAAATTTTCCGATTTTTCGAAAAATTTTGTCATTTTTTGTATGGAAGGTCTTAATTATTTTTCCCGCAGTTTTTGGGCAATTTCATCAATAAATGATATCCATTACCGAAAATAATGAAATTGATAGTCTAGTCCATTTATGAAAACTTCAAATATTCTCATAAACATCATTTCATGAATATTTTTTTGTAAAATAACAGAATTAATGGGAAAAAACTGAAATTTCAATTCCGGTCCTAATTAAATTTCCATGACTGTATATAGAAACGGTTCACAGGGTATAGCTACGCCGCAGAAGAAAATAAATGAATGCAAAGGAACAACACCAAAATTCGTTCACCCCTTGCACATTCTCTTTCTTCGCTCATATGCATTGTATATATATTAAAGGTGAGCTGATAACTATAAATACTCCTTGGATATAATTTCAAAACAACAGTACCTATTCGCCTTCAAACGAGTGCACATTCAAATTTAAAAGAAATAAGAAAAACGTGAAAAAATGAATTCAAAATCCATCGCACTCTGTGTAGCAGTAATTTTATTTGCTGTATTTTCATGTGCCGGTAAGTGACTTCAAAGAATATTATTGCTTCCGAAATACCTATTTGAGCAGTGAAAATTAAAAGCTTATTAAGTTGCATTTTTTTTAAATTCATTGAGAAAAAGTCTTCGAAACTATCCCTTGTGGAAATATATTGATTTTATCAACCGATTAATTTGGAACGAAATTGAATATAAATTTAGTCACATTAAGTTAGTTCAAGTCAATTGTAATGTTTAATCAATTAAAATCACCTTTTGAGTGAACGTTACGTTGACTGAAAGTGATTATAGCCGCTTAAAGTCATCTTAATGAGTTCATGATTTTTCCCTGTCATGATTTCAATTCAATGTGATTCAATGTGACTTCATTTGTATTCTATTTGTCCCAAATTAACTGACTTAAAGTCAACTTACAAGGGATAGAATTGCGAAAAAATCAAATTCTTTTTTATTAAATAAAAGAGCGTAAATTTTGAAAATTTTCTTTTTCAAGCAACAAGCCGACCGACCCTTCGACAGGGAGCAAGCGGCCAAGATGTGACTGACCTTCAAAACCACCTAAAGACACACTATCCGCTCTACGCAGGTCAACTCGTTGTCGATGGCATATACGGCTATGCATCTGTTGCAGCCGTGAAGGAGTTCCAGCGGCGCTCCGGACTCGATGATGACGGCATCGTCGGCCCGGACACCTGGGGGGCGTTGGGCATCTAATAAGTCCCTCCGTCGTTGTCATCACTGACATATATTTCCGTGTCCGCATAAAAAATTATTCGTAAACTGTTTATTTCTTATTTGCTTTTTCTACTTCTTCTGTTAATTTCTGTTTGTGAAATGCCTTCCGCATATACAAAAACCATATACATCTAATTGCTTATTTGAATTAAAGATTCATGACGTTACTATGAACCGCCTGTCTTTCATTTAGAAGAAGTCAAACGTTTGGTCTTCCATTGATTTGGTTAGCGTCCTTTGTGTTTTACGAGTATCGTTGAAAATGTCTAACACAGATTAAACATGCACTGAAATATGTTCTAATTTGGTAAAGAATTAAGTGGCAAAATAATGACTCAGTTGTCATGCAATGCTTGCTTAAGTCATTTGCATACACAAGATTACACATCTCGAAAGTAAAGTTATAACAAAAAATCATGAAATAAATGAAAAAAACATAAGGTAGGTACTTAATGACAATAAAAGTATTACCTACAATTGAAACCAACTACAGAAAATAGGATTTTTGGTTTTTAGACAATCAACTGGGCAATATTTATGCATGGGCAAACAAGTACAAATTAAATAATTCATTTCAAACATTTTATTTTATACAAGTCCTTGAGAAGCACCTTTGAATCTTAATTTATTCTAGCTATGATCTACGGAACAATCTATGTGCTCTTCGTGCCATCGGTGACTTGAGCAGTATTGGTGGCTTGGGCGTTTGCATCAATGACTCGTTGTAGAATGTCACGTTTTTCGTCAAAGTAATTGCGATACCATTCGATATGTTCACGCTTTTGCTGCACACTCAAGTATGGATTTTTCGATAATCCGATGCAAACGAGTTCCATAAAATTCCGAACAGCTCCTCTCTTTGGGCACCATGGTTCAAGATGTTCCTCGAGGAATATATGATCCGTGAATGATGTTTGGTGCTCATCATCTAGTCCTGTTGATAGCAATAGTTCATTAGCAGTTGGATTGGACGAGATCAATTTGCAATTTGCAAAATTTACGTTGTCAATTCCCATTTAAAATTGAAAAAATGGAGGTTCATAGAAGACATGAGTGTTTTACCTTGTTCGTTATCAATTGGGAAGTGCCAAATTTTGCCTTCCTCCGTCCAATAGGCCATTTTCTCAAAGTAATTTCGTGGTGCCATTGACATTCGAAGTCGTAAATCGTGTTGTTCAAGCTTCTTCCACGTCTTCAGTGTGTCTTCTTTGCTTTCAAGCTTTTCGGCTGATTCGAATATGCCGATCGGTTTGCCGGCAAACACATCGGTAACGATCTCTGCTGTGGGACGTTCTCTGCAAATGATTCAATTGATTTTTAAATCCATCACCACTTAAACGAAATCTTGCAGTTGAAAATGATTTTTTTTACCTCTTCGATAACTTTTCCAACTCTTCAACCGCATTGACGAATGGCTTTCGACGCCTGAATGGAACTTCACGCTTTGTATTTTCACTGAAAGTAAATTTACATATTACAAATCAATTCATTTCAATGTTTTTATTCAATCAAAATAACATCTTGAACCGAATTTGCAATTGATAAATTTTGGGACATACGCTGTGAATGCACCAGTAACCGGTGCTTGGGCTGGTTTGTCTCTTCGTTGTACTGGTGTTTTCATCTTTGAAATAACATCACTGCAAATAAGGAATGAGATTTGTTTTAGGAATTAATTTCAATTCTCTATAACGCAACTCTAAAATCTAACTGAATTTTATGCTTTGTCTGAAATGATCGTAGAAAAACTCACTCTAAAAACTCTGATCCTTTTTGTTCACCTTCAAACGGTGCCAAAATTTCATCTTTGATCCTCTTTTCGCCGAGCTCCTTCGAAACAGCTTGAGCCGCATCAGCGATATTACGTGGTTTACGTTCTTTTGCGTCAAGCCGTTGGTTTTGCCGGATTTTTCGATAGCCAATCGGTTTTGAGCCCTGCACCTCTGACACAACACTCAGTGATGAACGTGATGACAACTTTTTCAGCAAATCATTCAATCGATTTTGACTCTCCTGCGAAAATGCTTTTGATTGCTTTCCATCTTTCTTTGCAACTTTCTTGTCGGCCGCAGCTTTTGTATCATTTTGACCTCCATCGTCTGATGATTTTGTGTCGTCTGAATAGTAAACAGCCGAATGTTTGAACACATTCAATAAAGTACCATTTTTTCGACTCAACAACTGTGTGCAACGAATCAAAGACATGATTTTCGCCAATAAACAATCGAACAAACAATTTTTTTCACGAAGGTTCACTTTGAATTTACAATTTTAATTAAATGTTTACCGAAAACATACAAAAAGTGGCCTATCACTATCATTCATAGTTGAGGTTAGGTTTTCTGCAAGAATGCGTGAAGTACTGCTACTAATACCAATGTAAAAACGATTCATGCGAGAAACGTCAGTGTGAAAAGGAGATGTGTGGCGGAAAATTCGAAAAATTGGTAACATTTTTCATTTTGCTCTATTTTGGCGTTAGAAAACAATTCCTAACATTTAAAATTAGAAAAAAAAATAAGGAGTTCAAAACAATTTGAATCGAAAGTGATTTCTGCCATTTTTCAACGAAAAATGAATTTCAACATGCTGAAGCGGAAAAAGTTCGAGCTTGAGGGCATCTAGAGCGTGAAAACAAATGATTGAAATGAAAAAAATGTTCTTTTTGAATGATAAATTCTCAATTTGCTGAATTCGTCTTTGGGCTTAATGATTTAGACAAAACCATCCATCCCACTTACACAAAAAAAGAAACAAAAATCAATAAAACCACGCCGTTTAAATTTTTGTCGCAATAAATTTCTTGCATTCGCCGTTTTTATTTATATAATTTTTAGAGTAAAAATATATGTGTTTTTTTGTTGTTTTTGAATTTTTCTAATTAAAACTCGATTTTGATCGAAGTTTGTTTTTGTTGTAAAAATGCCGTGGCAAATACAATGAACAAAAAAAAAGAGAAGAAGAATTCTAATTTTAAAATGAATTTGTGAGCATTTTGCTTAAATATTAAATACGGTAAAATGATTGACAGAGAATATCGATATCGTTTTCGATTCATAAATATATTTTCAACGATGTGGTATGAGTTGTGTGTTGTGGTATCATCGACATCGATTCCAATGGTTGTGACTAATAAATTTTGTTTTGTATCAATTTCGATAGTGGCGGAGGGGCTTTTAGCGTTCAATTTTCTTTTTATAGCAATTACATTCATGGTTCACATCAAAGAAATTAGTGATAAGTATATTTCGTAAAAGCACGCTAATGTCTAAAATTTGTTTTTTTCTCCTTCCTCACCTTTTTCTCCTTCTTTACATTTAATATATCAATCAATCAAATCGGTAATACATACGATCTACATATAGTTTTTGTTTTGTTTAATTATAACTGAATACGGTAAATAATTCGCAAAAATTTATTCGCCTGTCTTGAAAACGTTGCGTTAACCATTTGTTTGTTTGTTTGTTTTTTTGTCACGGTGGCACGACTATAAGTCAAAACTAAATATATCGCTTAAAAATAAAATTATTTTACACAGTTTTCTTTTTCTATGCGTCAAGAAAAGAAAAATAATGAAGAATTTATGTTTTTTTTAGCTTAAAATCCACATTTTTGAGAGAGATGACAGAAACAAACCAACAAAAGATGTGTTGTATAGTATACATTCATTGAATAAAATATTTGATCTCAATACACTAAGCCTAAAAAAATCTATGCTTAAAGGTGGACACTTGTGTTGTGGAGCAGCTTTTTTGTGGTAGATTTGCAAACTTTGCGCTAGCCCTAGGAACAAAACGCTCGCTCTTTCGTTCGTTCATTTGCTGTTTCTATCGTCTTATCTCAACCGATTTGTTTTCCCTCATTTGATCCCCTGACTGTCGATTCTCTCTGTTCCAAACGGTTTCAGTTCTGTTGAGCGATTTTTTCTGTTTTTCTTTTTATTCTCTTAACAAAATGCACTTGTCCAGCTACATCAATATCTATTTGTTACCGAATATTAATTGTTTCTTTATGTAAATATCGTCTATTTCGAAATCACTGTCTTCGCTTCTATCACTCTTGCGCGAAGAATCGTCATCGGCTTCTGGAATTAAGGGTAAAACGTGAATAAAATTCATATTTAATTTGAATTTCTTCTTAAATACTTTTTTTTTTTTAATAAAACCAAACGTACCTTCTCCTAAATCAGTATCCTCCATACCAGACCGTCTACGCCTTCGGCTTCTGCAATGACATTCCAAATTGCTCTTAGATTAGATTTATTCGTTTAATTTCAACTGAACCGCATTATACTCACGTTGCATTCATTTGATGGTTATGGCCGCTGCGATATTTCGTTTGCTGTGGCATAGTTTTGGCTGGTTGCGACTCTTGTTGTCAGCAGGCTGACGTCTCTTCACCTTCCAGCGTGCATGCAACATTCTCCAGTTTATGGGCCAAATGACCCTTTATGCAGTTGGCATCGTTGTTCAATGCATCGAGAATCTGCCATTGATGAATAGAACAATTTTAAACCAATTAGAATAAGGAAAAATCATGAAAAATAAATAACACGAAGAAATACCGCCTTGCAGACACGAAATAAAATTTTAAGACAAAAAAGAGAAATTTTTAACGTACCTGATCCCTGTATTTCGTCACATAAATGTATAGCTCCTTCAATGCGGCGATGGTATCAAATTCATCGTTGGTTGAAAGTTGTTGCATTATACTGCTGATGGCATGATCACTGATTTGAGGAAGTTGAGCTACGTCACGGTAAAATTGCTTTACCATTTCACGGTACTGCGGTATGTCCTATGGACAAATGAAAATTACAAATGGTTACAAACCAGTGTCCAAATATGATTCGTTTTAAAAACACGAATTTAATTAAAAGTTGAATCAAAAATCAAACTGAAAAATATCCCTTCAAAATGGGGGATATTTACCTTGGCAAAGAGTAATTTGTTACTCGGTGAGTCTTTTCCCAAGCGATGCTCGGTGGTTGAACATGAGTCCATAAATGTTTGAGCAATGACACTCAGGCATGCGTCCACGGTCACTGTTTTGTTAATGTCAAATATGAAATCGGGATTTTTGATGAAATTCACCCAAAATCTCAATGGCAAACTGTGAAGAAATAGAATATAAAAAATTAACCCAATGATGACCTACCCAATACAAAAATAGTAAACTTTTCTAATATCCTAGCTCAATATTTTAGCTCAATATTGTCGAATGAAAATTCATTTTAAAAAAAGTAATAAAAAACGTCGACGCCAGTGTTGACGACAATTGCCATACCTGTTCGATTTCCAAGCGTGAATAATTTCACAGTCGACGATGCCATGCCGATGTGCAGCCTCATCAAGTAAATCGAAAAGCCATTTAACGGCCGGCGGCAGATCTTCGTTCACAGTTAAAATGGTTTGGAAAAAGTCATCGACAAACTTCTGGATGGTACCTTTGGTGGCGAGCAGTCGTGTGAGGAAGATTTCTGGAATGGTTTTATTGGCGCTACGATCATTAACACCGCCACCGGCTGAACCAAGCATTTGCATACCCTGGCTGCCCAACACACCAATCGACATTGCCATATTCTTGATGTTCAAATGATGATCATCGATGTTTGTGGCGAACATCATGGGTTTAACCAAATGGAAATACCGTATGCCAGACACGGCCGGCGACTGTAACCCATCCAAATCATTGTTCATAATAATGTGTGACTGTGAATTGTTTATATAGTATCCATGATTCTGATGCTGTTTTGCATTGTACGAATTGTTGTACATTTCGGTATTCGATTGACGTACAATCAACGACATGACCGCCGACTCTTTTACACCATAATGTGCCAGTGTGTTAAGACGTTTCCATTGACCGCCAATCGTTTTAGTGGTTAAGTCTTCGTCTTGCAGTGTTAAATGACCGCCACGGCCATGACGCCATTCCAAGTCCACTTCATGTATCGATGGTCGCATCGAAAACGGTGTATTTTTGAACAAATGATCCAGTATTTTTGATTTCACCTGCGAAATTGTATCACAATCAAGCACTTTGCATTGGATCTTCTCATCCAAATCCTCTTGAACGATGTGTAAGGTAACCAGATTATGGGCAATTTGTTCACGCAACAATTTTTCCTCGGACAATGAGTAGCGCGCCTCATGGGTGACCGCATCGACTAAACCCTTTTCGATTTGATGCTTGATCGCCTTGAATAGCAGGTACAAACTCGAACCAGCGTACTCTTTTAAGTAGTCATACATGCAAATTGCCATGTAATTGGTGAGCATCTTTTCAACAACACTTTCCGTGCGTCGCAACATCAATTGGGGATGCTTTGTCATCACCGATTTGTCAATCAAGCGCAGCAATAAACATTTCAGAATATCGGTGGCATAGTCCATTTTATTCATCAGAACAATCATCAGGAGTGAAGCAACGTTTACTCTGTGAATGGGAAAATTCATTTAGTTCAATTTAATCATCAACTAAGGCAATTGGTCGATTCCAAAACGAACAAGTGTTTTAGAGACCTCTTCAAAATCGACAAAAAAAAATTAATTGAATAAACTTACTTATCGCGAATGTTGAATGACTTTTGTGCTTCGAGCGTATCGATGAATGTCAACAAGAATACTTTATTGTTGATCAATTGTTCGAACTGAATCATGGCCGTGTCATAATTGGTCCTCGACGTTTGAATACGTAATTTCGGTGAGTTCAAAATCGGATGATCCGATACGCCCGGGAAGAATACTTTCATAATATAACTGATATGATCCAGTGTTGGTATGCCTGAATTTTCCAAATCAGCTGTTAAGCCAATATCCGTTTGCAACTCAGCAAATGCTTGCTTGCACTCCATTCGAACGTTGCTCTCGAGTGTGTCCATTTGAATTTGAATACGTTTATACTCGCGTTCGGCTTGGGTCGATTTACGTCGATACACAATCAAAATCACGAACAAAAGACACACAATAATGGCACAACCGATGGCAATGCCAACGATAGCATGCGAGAATGTGTATGGTTTGAGCAGTTCATACTTCAAATAGCCGATGGGGAATCGAAGGGTACGACCAACATGTACTACCACCATTGGTAAATAGGTTGATGTTTCGATGCCAAGTTCGTCCGTTGATTCGGGCTGTTGTTCCGGTGGTGTGCACACCAATTGAGTCAATGCCAAACTGGTAACATTACACTGCTTTTGACCGATGGTCACACTGACATCGGTTTCATCGCTGGCAATATTCAATTTCTCCCCTTCGATCACCAACGTATCGCCTTTGTACAGTTTCAAATTGTTCGGGAATGGAAAGTATACGGGATCATCAACGTAAATGATGGTCGAGCGCAAATTTTGGAAATGTTTATCCAAATCACGCACCGATTGAACATTGTCCATTACAAAACTGACTTGCAACGATAGCTGAGTTTCGTGGATTTTCAACGATGCCGCTATGTCATTGCTGGTGCTCAAGTCATTTTCCACTTCTGAACTCGTACTGGCCAACGCTGTTGGTGAGGTGGCTCCGATTCCATCCACATAAATGCTACTGATCGGTGTCGACCATGGCGTTGACGCTGCCGCCGCTGAGGTATAGTAGCCGATTGTCGTGTATAAACTTTCTGCATACGAATTTTGTCGCTTGCGTCGTTCGCCAGACACTGATTTTAAGCTCATTGGCTTGTCCAGTGATGCGGTTGGCATTGCCGATGCCATTTGCTGTTGGATCACTTCGATTTGACGACGGTATTCATTGAATTTTCCATTCACAGCTGGAGATGGACATTCCATTTGATTTGGTGTTATCACTGTACAAACGGATTTGTTCACGAGCTCATCGTTCAGGAATACTTCAAGTTCAGGCTTTTGAATTGAATCCAAATTCGTTCCGTGCACCGTAATCATTCGGCCACCGCTTGAGAAACTTTTCAATGGCTTGATTTGCATCACCCTTGGATCGGTAGTATAGTTGAAAATGCTGCATCCAATCATGTCGGAGTAACTGTTTTGGTAAGATAGGAGCGGTTTTGATTAGAAAGGGGATCTTTGAATTTTTCAACATTTTTCCTTTGCTGTTTTTTTTTCTTTGTGAGTGGAAAAAAAGAAGAAATGAAAAGAAACTAAAAGAGCAACAACACCTACCCATTATAACCCTTAGTCAAATCTAAATCAGTTTCTAAATCGCCTGTCGTTGCGGTTGGCGGTACGTTGCGACAGGTGTATGTACGATTGGCCCCATCGATGATGAGTGTCAGTTCGCGAATCTCTTGGGGATGATGTGCTGCAGATGTGATGCATGTGATTTGTGACGATGATGCTTGGCTTCCATTGACCGCGCATTCATAATTGTCCAAGAAAGCAGTGATGCTTGAGCCGATGTTTAGCCATTTGCCAATGATTGACAATTTGGTACCGCCACTCTGTGGACCTCTTTGTGGCAAAAGTCCATCCAATTGAATGTCTTTGTATGAGAATTTCACACTTGATTCCGTGAATCCAGCCTCGTTGCCAACTTTAATCGGTGCTGACATCTCATGGCCAGCTGGCCCAGTTCGACACTCAATTTTCACCGAAATCTCATAGTTGACCAATTCACACGGAATATTTCCAATTCGAATGTTGTCGCGCACATCTTCGGCTCGAATACCCAAATTACTACCTTCGATTGTTATTAGCGTTCCACCTTCCATTGGACCACTCAATGGTTTTATCTGAAGAGAAAGAAAATTCATCATGAAAATGTTTTTTAAAAAAACTTCTTTTTCAACTCCAAATCACCTCCATGCGTTTACATTCTATTTTCGAATGAGAAAAACTACAATGAACTCACCATATCAATTCTAGGTCGTGGGCATTCATTGACGGCCATACCAGCACCACAGGTCTCATTGTACATGCAGGTGTTACCGCACCAAGTGCACTGATATTTGGCGGCTCTTGTAACGCACAGCGAGCAATCGGCGTGTTCTCGATGCGATCCAAGCACGTCGCATTTGTACAAAATAATTGGTACCGTATCAATGTAATGATTGCGATTCCACAAGATATCAACGCGAGCCTCATATTCATTGGTCAATGCTTCGTATGAATAGGTTGTTCGTTCGCAGACGATGAATTTTTTCGATTCAACACGAGCCGGTAATGACATGTGTGCACCTTCGATATTAACAATGCACAGGAATCCGGTGTGTGAGCTAAGTGGGCGCGGTAAATTTTCAATTTCCAATCGAATTTCTTTTGGTACTTGATTCGCCAATAAAATCGGTTCATTGTTAGCGCTCGGTTTATAATGTGGGCACGACTAAATGAATAAAACAATGAAAAAAAAAAACAAATCAATCAAAAAAAATTGTTTGCATAAAACATGACTAATTCAATATGCAAGAGGAAACAGAAAAAAAAATTGCATTGGCTACAAACCGTTGATTCAGTGATGACACTTGTTGTACTCCGGCAGGTTGTTGTATTATGCACGCATCGATTGTCGTACAAACACCAATTGCAATTCCATTCGCTTTGCACACATTTACGGCACGTGTCATGCCGTGAACAATCGAAAAATGCAAAACTTCGCGACACAAAATCTTTATTGGTCTCAGAACTGCGAACGCTCAACGGCACCAACACATGATCACTTTGTGCCGGAATAATTGGACGATTGATGATCGGTGGCGTTGGACATGACAAACCATTTTCCAAAACGGTTGCATCAATCGGTGTTGAATTGCCAAATACGCATTTGTACTTTGCGTTGGTGGGTAGCTCGGGCAGGATGCGAATGACAAGCTGTACACTTGTCATTTGATTGATTGGTATTTTATTGGGCAGTACCATTTCAAAATCGATACATTGATGACCCGTACCCAATGACAGCCAACGCTGATTCGATGAATCTTTGTGGCATGCATTTCGTATGGTACATTTTTTCTCCAGTGAACACCAACCGCAGAATGGATCCCGTGATTCCAAACAACTCGAACAGTTTGTATAAATGCTGCAATGCTCCACACGCAATTTTGTAATCTGAATATTTTATAAAGCAATTTTCAGTATTCGGGTCATATAACGAACGTTTGCAAGTGGTGAAATAGAACGTATTTACACATAAGTTCGAATGAATGAGAGAGAGAGAGAGCAACAGAAAAATAAGACTAATAAGAGAAATAGCGCGTATTTGCTTACCTTATGCTTGGACAAAACGTAGAGGTAGTCTTGTTTTGGTGACATCATGGTATCGGATAGGATGGCATTGCCTGGATCGATTTCAACGCTCTCATATTCGCCAGGGTCGGGGCCAGATATAAGCACCTTTTTGATCCATCCATTGGTCGTTCCGAGAAATGCTAATGTATGCGGCCCAGTTATCGCTGCCGTCACCGATGTAATCGACTCATTTTCGAAATCAAATAGCGAGTATGACACAATTGGCGAAACGCCACTGATTTTCAAGCCAACATTGCAGAAATTGTACACATTTCCGGTGGTCTACAACAAAGGGAGAAAGTAAAAACAGAATTTTTTAAATGCTACGCCAAATAAACAACAGGCATTCAATTGAGGTTTTTTTCTTTGCTGTGTTGAAACGGAATTCGTATATTATGGAGTAGATTTCATTCGTTTTGCATCATAATCGGCTCATTCTGAAGCGGATTTTTTCTATTTCCAAATAGAATTTCGTTTTTGAATTAAGCGTTCGGGGAAAAAATTTCTCTTGCCAATACAAAAAAAAATGAAAGAATTTCCCTTTAACAAAGCAAAACTTAAAAAGATTCCAAAACTCACCCCAGCTACGGGACATTTTCCATCTTGAATCGTACCAGAGATGTAGCCCATATTACGATCTTTGATGGTGCCATTGAAGCACATGTGAATATTTTCGGTGAATGTTTCGTCAATATCCTTCAAACTGTATAGGCAAACGGCTGATTTGGCTTGTGGTTCGTTGGTAATTTCTTTGGATGGCGAGAAAACCGCAACCAAAACGAGGTCATCACGCTTGATGCCCATTTGTTGGGCCAAACGTTGTCCGGCTGTCGTCACTTTGATATCACGTAAAATATTGTAGTCAATTTCCGTGGCATCGACATCATTCTCAGTCGTGCTAAGACGTTTCTTGCATTGCAACGTAATTTCCGTGTAACTATTATAATTCTGATCGCTGACGCAAACGCGTGCAATGCGCGTATTATAGCCAGCCTCTTCAACCAGATGCGATTTTTTCTGTACAATCACAAAGTATGCATAGTCACTGGTATTGAATCCATATTTGTAGTCGACCAAAAAGTGATCACGATGATTGACATCAATGTTGAGCACAGTGGTCGATGTGAGACTGTACTCAGCAAATTCCAGTGTATTTAAATGGCGTGAAGAAATGGCCGGCACTTCGTGTCGATAGTCACCGACATTGGTGAATGTGGCGCCAACGTATAAAACATCCTCTTTGCTCCACGATGTATACCGTGATGGTCCGATAAATGCCAGCGTCGATGCATGTTCATCGTTGGCCGCCAATGGAATTTCCTTGTATTCCGGTGAATTTGGAAATTTTTCCGTTGGATATATGGTGCACGAGCCTTGCATAACACTGCCACACGTAATGAGCGTCGATCCAACTTCATTGACCACCAGCACTTTGTTGTGATTGGTGGTTTCATGCGTTTCAGTGTCTTCCGAACAAACGCCATGACACATTGGATTATCTTGTTTCGGACCAGTTATCGCTTGTGCCAGTAGCGATAGATTGTAATCGAATTTGAAAATTCGATTCGATGCACCGGCATACAAATTCGAATTGCGTCGATCGAATGTCATATGCGTGAAGTAGCTGCCGTTTGGCAGAGTGTATTGAGCTAAAATATCGGATGATGTGACGGGTAGTGAGACGGATCTCGTTACTGATGCTGATTTAAGTAAATGGCTTTTCGGTGAGTATAAGTAGTTTGGTGACGAGATCGATGTGGCTGTCGATGACAACTGTTGAGTTTCAACTGCCGTTGCCGCCACTGCCGATGACGATGCAGTCGCTGCTGACGACGACGACGCCGACGTTTTTTTAGTCTTTGTACTAGCGGAATGTTTGTTGTTTGCAGCATTGCTTGGTGCAATGCACATGCAGGTAATCAATAAAATGATAAGCAGAGCGAACAATTGTCGCCTACAACTTCCATCAAAATGCATTTTAGCGAATGTGTTCATCTTGATCGGTTGACTTGGTAATAATAACGGGAATATGTCTAACAATAAATATCGCATTTTCTCATCGAATTCGGACCGTTTAAAATTCCATAATTTTTGCGGTAATTCTAGGGCTATTCTCTCTGTCTATGTCGTCGTTGTATTATTTTGTGGCCGTTTGCTGATGGCAGGTGATCGTTTCTTTAAAAAAAAAGCAGTCTTCTTTTTGAAATGCGCTCGTGCCGAATGCCTTTTCATTCAAAAAAAAAACGCACTCTTATGTTACTCCTGTATAGGGGAAACAAAAGCAATAAATATCAATAAAAATACACAGAAGAGGACTGTGCTCTGGACACAGGCAAACAATGTAATAAAACACACAGCGATAAACCAATATTAAAATCACGTCGTCTAAAATAACGACATATAAGAACTGAATATGTGATGATTTTTTTTCGGTTTGTTTGCCTTTCACTCTCTGTCTCTCTTTCGTTTGGTGTCATTTAACGACAAAATGACCATTAAATAAAAAATGCGTTTCTTCTCTTCGCGAGTGTGTTTCACTCCTTTTCTTATTTAAGTTTAATATTAAGTGAACAATAAATTGGTCGTACCCTGCATTTAAACTAGACAATCGCTGTCCATTTTGATGCACTCGAAACCATAAACAAGTTTTACACCATCGCACCGCATTGATTACACATTCGTTCTTATAATGTCTGTATGTTCTTATGCTGTTCACTGTTCTTTTTTTTCGCTGCTCGTTTTTTTTTCGTGTAGTAGTTGTAACTTTTATTCAACACCAAATTCGAGTATAAGTATCGTCGTTAAAACTATGCTTTTAAAAAATCGAAGACACAGAAACATTTAGAGGAGAAAAAAGTGGTAAATGGCAATAGCGCCGATTGGAACTATATAAGAATCCCTTCAAATGGTTCGCTCTCTGTCTCTCTCTCCTTCTCTCTCACTCTGTCAATCTCTCTCGATGTGTAATTCACTTTACCATTGATTTGTTTTGATTTGCACAGAGTCTTTCTCTTCTCTCTTTCTCTCGCTACCAAGTATTTCTTTCGGCACTTCAAAATGTCTCAAATTCAATATGAAGAATAGAAAATGTTTGTTTACGAAATTTGCACAATTATTCAGTGGTTTTCTTTTCACTTCACTTTTAATTATACTCTGATGATTTAATGTTGAGTTAAAAATAAACACACTCGGTGATCCATTTAACTGTTCATGCAAATACACTCTTACAAAAATACCTCCGAAAAATGCTTCACATTATTCTTTACACTTGATTTATTCTCTATGGAATTGTGTTTTTGTTTCTTTCTTGTATCCAGTTTCTTTTGTTAATCCTCCGTGTTTCGTTTTACATATGAATGAATGCGATGGATTTGATGTGTTTTTTTTCTTTCACACTCTCTCTAGCATTTCGTTTGGAGTATTTGGGTTTTTGTTTCTGCTTTTTAGCATTTTATTACTTTTAGCATGTTATTTAGTGTGTGTATATGCATACATTCAATTGTGTGTGGTAAATGATTATTCACTGAATTTTCCACCGAAATCAAAACAAATTCACGAAAACACTCGTTGTTTTGTTGTTGTTGTTGATTGGTCACGAAGCGAAAACTATCGAAATTCCACTTTTTGTATCACCACCAAACGCACTCAATTAAATCACCGCTGCTTGCAAATAGTAGTAGTGCTGCTGCTTGTGTTGTTTTTTCTTCTTACTTTTTTTGTCGTGAATAAATCGATTTCGGTTTTTGTCGCGTTTTTCTCTATGATTTTTATTTCTATGTTAGTTTTCTTTCACCATTCGGCACACTCAGGATAGAAACAGAAACCAAAAAAAAAACCAAATCTATAACACGAATTTTGGACGAATTTTCAGTTTATAATCGTCAAATTACAAAGAACGACAACGATGGCCACATACCGAAAAGGATGTGATTTCTGTATCGAAGCGCTGCTCGCTGTGCTCGCTGTATGTTTGCGAAGCGTATATTGAAAAGAGATAGATATAGAGTGGAAGTGAGTGAATGAGAAATCAAACAACAACACAACCACAGAATAAAAAAAAATGAAAGAAAGAATCAACACTCAAGACAACCAAAGCCAAGATACACAACGAGAGAGATAGAGAGGAATGAAAAAATTAAACCCGAATATTTCATTCGCCATTTACCACACGACCGATGACCAGAGAGAAATTGATGATGATAGTGATGATGAATATAGAAAGAAGGGAAAAAACACGCCAAGTATAACACACACTCTACACTGCTGCGACTACACACAAACAACAACACAGCGAGAGAAGAAGCAAAAAACACACAAATTCATAACGTAGACGAAGAAATATCAAACGCAGAGAAACAAGAACAGAAATATCTGTGTGCATGTGATGGTGATGATGGTGTATGTATGTGTGTATTGAAGAATGAGCAAACTAAAAATTTCATTCAAAATCCAAGAGCTGTTATGCTGCTACTGCTCTGTGTTCTGTATGCAGTTTTTGAATTCGAAACGTTCGTTCTCTTTCACACATTCGGCGAATGTCTGCTGCTGCTATACGCACACTCTTTCCATACGTGAACAGTGAGATTTTGGTGCTGCTGCTGTAGCTGCTTTGTTTGCCGTCCCGGTCACGCTTACGCATCCGACCCTCAGAACTTGTTTACACTTGTGTGTTGTTTTTAAGCCGCCATATTGTTAATGCACATACACACACGCTGCACACACATTCTGACCTATTCACTCACTCACTCACTCGCTCGCTTGCTCATTCGCTCATTCGCTCATTCACCCGTACTCATATCTCGCCAACAACATTCTTATATTGTATATAGAATATAGCAATTCCATCTGATGCAGTGCCACTTCGAATGAGTAATACCATAGACATCTATACACATCTATATGCGCCCGCGTGTGTGTGTATATGTGTAAATGGATTGAAAGATGGCAAAGGTCTCAAAAATTGTGGAGAGGATTTTCTTCGTTTTGCTTCTACCATTCGTTTTGTATGCTGTGCTGCTGTTGTTGCCATCGCCGTCGTCGTTGCTGCGCTGCTGCTTGCATATCGAGTCGGTGACTTTTTGTTTATTTTTTTCATTTGGCTCTGCTGCACGAATTGCATGCGTATTGGTCGATATGGCCTGTGCGAATGCTATGGAGACAACCAAAAAGTTTCGAATGTACAATCACACAAAAATGTGCAGCAGCATGTGGAATGTCAGCAGCAGCAGTACAAAACGAGAGCGATAGAAGCAAAGTTTTTGTGCTCCCGACTCGCACACACAGGATAGCAGAGCCAGCTTATGACACTCTCATTCAGTGGACAAAATTCGGAAATTTTTTTTTTCCTCCTTCGTATTGTACAGTTTGCAATTCGAATCAATGGGGCTGTATATGATTCGCGTTAATTTTTTACTCGCTGCTGTTGCTGATTGTCGGTTGTGCTGTTGCCACTGCTTATGTTACAAGCTTGACTCGTTTGGGATGTATGTCTTCCGTGTGCATAAGTTTTGTCGTTCCGTGAATTATTATTGTTTTGCAATGCAATGCGACGACCTGGAATGGAATGAAGCGAATTTAGAGAGAGGAGGGGAGTGGAAAAAACAGCGCGCACAACGAATAAAAACCCATTTATTCAAAACATTTCTCTATCGTGTTTTTCTGCCTTCGTTTTGTTCTTTGTTTCGTCGGCTGTTGTTGGTTATTTTTTGTTTCTCTGCTCCAGTAAAAAAAATATTGTAGATCGTTTTTTATTTCATTTTTGTTTGGGTTTTTCATCGCGCGCGGCGACAGCAACGGAGGCTTGGATTTTTTTTTTTCGCTTTTCTTCTTCGTAATAGTTAAATCATAAGACGATTGGCTTCACACTTATACTGGGCACACATCCATCCGTTTGAGTGTTGATTGAATAGCAATCTAATGCATGAACAGTAAAAAAATACGTATGCTTGGTGCATATACACACTCTTATTGTCGTCGTCGTCGTCGTCACTGTCGTTGTTTGTTCTAAAATCTATTTTTTTCATCATCATCATCGTCTTCGTCGTTGTTTCACATTCGGTGTTCTTCTGTCGCGATTGTGTCCCAGTCGGATCACATATATCACTCGAAAATGAACGCGAATGAACGAACAAACCAACGAAGCACATATACCAAATTACTGAAACGGTTTTGAATGTCACGATCGAATCGCACAACTCAACATTATAACGACGATGAAAAACGGCTCACTGAAAATCAAGCCATTCAAATTGTTAGTCGGTGCTCGATGTATGTTCCTCTCTCTCTCCCTCTCTCTCTCTCTCTCTCTCTCTCTCTCTCTCTCTCTCTCTCTCTCCTCTCTCTCTTATGTGTTTTTTTCGCTGCTTTTTACATTTTTCGCAGGGGTTTCGCACAATCTTTTTGATTCTCGGCTTATTTCCATGCACATTACCGGGTGCACTTTCCTACTTTCATGATTGCATTAGGTAATGTTGTTGTTGCTGTTTTATTTTTCATTGTTTTAATATTCCTACGCCGAGTGTGTGTATGTCGTCGTTGTTCGACGAGCTAATAAGTGGCGTCATTCACTCTCTACTTTACTTACGACCATTCACTCACTCACTCACTCTTCTTTCTCGGCAGACTTTATACGGGCTCTTTTCGCAAAAAAAGGTTATTAAGCACGCACCAAAACGAAAAATCAGCATCATCGAATGAACGAACGAACTAGAACATCGAAAAAAAAATGAATTGAATGAACCTTTTATGAGTGTCTCTCTCTATCTCTCTCTCTCTTCCTCGACAACATAAGTACAGATATAAAAATCATATATCTACATATTCGCTCCTTATCTATTCATTTCCACAATGCGTTCGGTCCGAATTGAAAATTGCGTACTGCATTTTTATGCGACCAAAAACATACGCACACATCGGATTCCATTGTGCTGCACGCAGCATGGCATTCAGGGTGCTTGTCTCATTTTCGAAATGATTGTTTGTTTGATTGCAAGCATTCAGGCTTGCGGTGGATTTTATCTCACAGGCACGTACAAATGATTAGGGCCAAATTGATTGAGGACTAAGCAGCCTACGCATGCATAGGGTAAGTATATGCGTCTTTTTCCTTGTTATTGTTGAGAACGAGAGCAAATTTAACCTTCTCGAAGAACATTAAATGAATAAATCAATTTCGGTACTGCACTTTTTCACTTCATCCTCTTGTTTTTTGCGTGCACACAATTTTCCACTAGAGGATGAATAGAGACCAGAAAAAAAACAACGAACCATGGCATTCTCTCAAACATTCTTTTGCCACATTCTTCGTCTGAGGCATTACAATTCGATGGATGATATACAAAAATAAAGACGATTATTATTTTATTTATAGCCGAGTCGATCGTTTATCATGCATCTATGCGACTTTAACTTTCGGCTTCGGACATAACTAACAGCTATTTTTGGTTCATTCGCCGCTTCACGAGCATATAACAAAACAACGGATGGAATATTTATCCGCCCACAACACTATCAATATAACCATATGTATTCCAACAACATTTATGATGCATGCAATCATCGTGATACCATAGCACAGTGCAGGCGTAATCTGTATCGATCGATGCTATTCAAAATCTAATTACGTTTCGAAAACCAGATTCATGAACGCTTGAAACAACAGGTTATTTGAAGATGTGAAGAGTCTCGAAATTGTGACAAACAATGGGATGAAAGAGAATGGTAAACGATTGGAAAACCAATGTACCTTTTGAGAGAGGAAGAGCTTGATGATTTTCAATAGCATATTTTTAGAAGGACACATTTTAATTACGATGTTAAAGAGAGATTAAGCACCATCTTTGGATACGAAAAGAGATGAAAGAAAATGTCGAGAATGGAAATAGATTTGAAGATAAATATGAATTCCGCAGAAATCAAACGAAAAGCTGAAGCATGGACTGAATTTCATTCGGCCACTCCAAAGTCAGGTTACAAATCCAAAAAAGACATGGAAAAATGGAGTCCCTAACAACCAATTGTTTATTAGCAAAAGTGGTTGGTCTTTAATCGAGACCCTTCTGAAGTATAGTCAGAGAATAAAATTGACTGGATTTCCAATGGTTTTCATGAAAGTTGTTTCCACAAAATCACAAGCACACGAAATGTACTACTTACTTTAATTCACCATACCAAAATGCACCGAAAAAAATGTCCTAGCACTCTAGCTAATTTTGATCTCTGATACACGGATCTTCGGAAAACTGTACTAATTTCAACGAAACTACCTGAAAAATTCGCTAAAAGTTCCTTTCCAAAAGTCTGAAACAAAGACGTTGAAAACCGTTGAAAAAAAACGCAACAATTTTCCTTTTTGGGATCTTTTTTTTTTGTTTCTTTTATTTTTATTGCATATTTTTATTCGATCATAATTGCAGTCGCTTGTCATTCAAAATTTCCTTAATCAATCATTTCAAAAAATTTAAACAAACAAAAAGACAAAAATAAAACGTAAATATTCCTTTTTTTTATGTTAAATTAGTAATTATTAAATAGTTCGCTACACCTTATACAATTAAATCATTCACGTTGTTTGCGCCCCGTGGCAAGTGTGTAAAAAAAATCGGCGAAGAGTTAAATTCAAATTCTAAATTGGACGCAATTGTCCTCTACGCAAACATGTTTCACTCTTTCTATCATTTAAATTGAATTTTGTATTTGAATTGAGGTTCAAGGTTAAGGAAAAACGAGTTAGAGATAGAAAATAGGAAACACAAAATCGACAATCCGTACACATTGCTCATAGAAAGTTCGCATAAGGAAGACTTTTTGTGGTTATTTAAAGGGCACTTCTGTGGATGGAACAGAAGCACACCGAAGAAAAGTCTTGAAAATCTTACAAAAGAAATGTTTTTTTTTTTAAAAAGAAGAATGAATCGAGTACAAATTCTGAATGCCAAAAATTAGACGATAATTTATCAAACAGAAAAATAAAATAAAAGTCTAACATCAAAGAAATTATTAAATAACGAATTAAAACGTAATTGGTTCTGAGAGTGTGACTATTTCGAGCAGAAAATTTGCATAAAGTTATAGATTTCAGAACAAATCGCATTGCTTTTTCACTTCATAATTTTAAATATTTTCCTATGGCAATACGAAAAAAATTCATTTTAATTCCCATTATTTTTGATTTGAGAAACAAAACAATTATGTTTGACAAAGAAAAGAAGAAATTTTAAAGAAAAGAAGAAATTTTAAAGAAAACAACAAATAAATATTGTGAAAAAATGCAAATTTCTACCGAAATTCCAATTAATTCCAAAGGCAATTGGATCTAATTCAAAATGTTCGGCAGTCATTCTTGTAAATTCCATTTCGATTTCGTACATTGTATATAGAGTTGCTTTGCTTTGCTTTTAGAGTGGATATTATTTTACAATGTTTCAGTTTTTTTTTCAGTTTCTGGTTTTTTTTTATCTTCAATTAAATGCACAACATTGAAAATTTCATAATTAATTAGTTCATTTTATCTAATTTATTCGCAACATGCAGCTGTTGTCGGTCATCGCTCTGAGTGAGAGACCGTGACACTGCCTGAAAATTACCTATATACTTTGTTTTTATATAATTATTTCTTCTTTTTTTTCTTGTTTAGTTTTGTGAATGGGTTTGTTTTTTCCTCCTGAACCGAATCATTCATGTTCTTCTTGCAACAAAAACCACATCAAAGATTGTATACATATCTACAGTTTTAATTGTACATCACTTAAAAAAAAATATTATGCTATTAGCAGAGAAAAAAAATGGTAATTGATGTGTGTGTATGTAACTCAAAAGAAGAATAGATTGATCAATCAATTCAAAAAAAAATGTGTTCGATTTTTATCGTTCCAATAAGAACGATTGACTGAGGTTATGTTCCATTTTTTTTGTGTGGATAATTGATTTCGATATGACGGATAGAATCTGACCCAAACAGTTGGAAAAACTGTTTCTTTCATTTGTCGGAGACTCTATCAATCATACCGTCGTCACACTGTTCACACTAATGGGCTGACAACAAATAATCAACAACTAAAAAAAAGAAAACAATTTGATATCATCATTAATCATAGTAACTCTGAGAGTTGTCAAGAGCTCTAGCTCTTGCGCTGATTTTTCGTTCAATAGCAAAATAAAAGCTTAGAATATTATTCTATAGGTTTGAAGATTTTTTTTCTCCATTCATGTTCTTGTTTTAGTTTTGGATTTCGTTTTTCCGTTGGCTAAATAGATTTTGTTTTTATCTTGAGAGTGTGGAGAACACATACACACTCCGAAAGACCCCTAAGTTAACGTGATAGCAGCAGCATCATTGCGTTGATTTGTGTGTGGTGCTGGTTTCAGATATGTGAAACCACATTTTGCTGCAATTTCGAGTGGGTGCGTACAATGTTTGCTGCTGATCCTGGGCCTTCGAAAGTTTAAACTGTGAACAAAAATCGAAAATCATATATCAATGAACAATCATATTAACTAACGTAACAAATTCAACGAATTTATAAGAATTGCAAAAAATTCAAAGAGTCAAATGATTGCAATCAGTTCCATTTGAAACCAGAATTAGAGCATTGCAATGGATTGGCCATGGCCAATTGTCATTACCAGCGGCGCTAGTCTCTGTTTCCATGGGCTGTGGAACGGCTTCAGATGCTGTCGTCACATTGTTATTATTATTCTGGCGTTTGGTGTGCTTGAACACACAATGTGGTTTGCAGCAGCCAGACGGCTTCGATTCCCAATAGCATTGGATTTTACTACGTGCTTTCTCGATGACCATATGACGATTTGGACATGCCGCATCCACACATTGGCCTATTTTAAACTTGGGACAAGTGCGCTCATGACCAAGCGCTGCCGGCTCATGACGATATGGACAACTAGTACCCTGTAAACGAACGTGAGAAAAAGAGAGAAAGAGAGAGAGAGAGAGAGAGAGAACACACACGTATACAAATACAATTAATTAGTTATCAAAAATCACATGCGCTTAGTACATTTTTATATGTGGAATATTTTGGTATGTCCCCGAGAAAAGAGACGAAGTGAACAAAAAAATATTATTTCGATTGTACCAACAACAGTGATGAAAATTCCACACATACACAAATGACACAAACTTACTTTACGGCATGCTGAATAGTAGAAAAAGTAGCAATCTTGTAAATTTTTTGGAAGTGACATTGTTTCGATCTTTTTCGTCGTCGTCGTTGTAGTCACTCTATTGCCTGTTCAACACACAATTTATTTAGACGTTGATTATTTTTTTTATTTTGTTAAATTTCACACGGCCACTCGAATTCGGTCCACGAAATGTGCTCGATTCACGATGTGAAATGTAATATCTTCCTCGTGTGTACTTTTCTTTCGTGTCGTTCCACTGTGTGCACGCAGCAAATATCAGTAGAAAGAATGTTATTTTTTTTATTCCTTCTATTTCGTCTTCTCTCACTCTTTCTCACTCGCTTGATCGCCCGCTCGCTCACTCGCTCGCTCACTTGCTCTATTCGTTCTTTTGCAGTATGTTCTTAATTTGACATTTGTCTAACTTTAATTTTGCACACTACTGGGGCTTCGCACACACACATACACTCAACAACGACCGAATTTTACACGGTTGGCATGCACACTGATGCGTCGTTGTGTCGTTGTGTGCGCGTGTATGCGTCATCTACACTACTTCTAACGACACATGGTGGAATGACATTTGGCGCATGAATCAAATTATAGATTTTGAAATACCGGTTAAATATACGATTTTTACACGGCATTCATTTTGCTCTCACGGTGAATTACGTATTCTCTGTACATTTTCTCTTTTTCTGTTGCCGGCACCAAGATTCTTGTTTCATTCTTCGTGTTGCGTTCCGCGTGGATTTTGGAAGTGATTCGAGTGGTGTTCAACGAATATGAACTACTTTTTTGTTGTTGTTTGGCCAATGAACCTGTTTTAAAGCAAATTTAAACCGCGAGGTATCGTTTGGAAATATCTTTAAAACATTTCAATTTCAAAAGTTAATGCATTCGATAACGTTTTTTTGGAATAAAAAAAGAAATGATTTGAGTTAAAACCAAAGACTTTCCATTTTATTTCACTGAACATAACTCCTTTGTAGTCAACAAAGAGCCGCGATGTGATACACAATAATTGATCCCAAAATTTCGAAAATGATCCGAAAAATATTCAAAATAATCAGAAACTTTTATTATTAATTTGATCAGAAAAAAACCATATATGAGCAGAAAAATTTGGAAATTCACCGAATATTTTTGAATATTTTTCTGAACATTTTGGATATTTTTCTGGTAATTTTCTATGTGTTCGGATCAAAATTATTTCATCCGTTTTTTATTCTGCTGTTGCTGGTCAAAATCACGCAATTTTTGTTCCACAGCCTTTTTAGATGCTTCCGACAGATCAGTGACCCCATTTGATAGGTTTACGCCTTCCAACGAATCCTTCAATATACGGAATGAGATTGGGTACAAATACTTCTTGAATTTGTCGGCGGTTTCTGGGCACCAGGACATTAAAAATAGCTTTCGTTTCTTCGAACTTTCAGATGTGCCTTGACATTGATGCATGTATTCGAATCCGAAAAGAGCATATCTGAAACAGAGAGAAGGACAATAATTAAAAATCAGTCATTTGTCTGGGTATCTATTTCAAATTTGCACTACACAATCACAAACTTAGATGAAAGACACTGTATTTGTCTTTGGTTAGTTCAAATTCTAGTGCATTTATTATCGAATTTAAATCATACTAAACAAAACATTAATCTGCGAGTCTCATTGCAATGCAGCAAATAATCCATAAATAACCCAGGGGGATTTCTCACACAAAAAGTTTGAGCAAATGTGCAAAAATTTCTATTATTTCTTCTTTTTCATTGAAATTGTATGAAAATGTACTGAAATGACGATTTTGCTTGAATAAAAGTGTTCTGGAAGTAGGTTTTGGAGGATCCTCAGGATCGTTCAGAACTGCTCCCGATTCTGGAAGTGGGTTTTGGTGGATCCTCAGGATGGACCAGATCCGGTTTGACATTTCTCTGGCCCATCCTGAAGATCCACTTCCAGAACCGGGAGCAGTTCTGAACGATCCTTGAGATCCACCAAAACCCACTTCCAGAACAATTTCATTGAAGCATAATTCAAAAGTTCAGTGTAAATGTAGATTTATTAAAAAAAAATTGACAAAAATTGATCGAATCGGACCGAATTTCAAAATTTATAAGAATTCATTCAATATTTTCCGTGAGAAATCCCCCTAGTAAATAACAATTATTCACGGAGTTGATGAGCTCACGATATTCAACTGCCCGCTTTCATGTGAAATGTTTTTGAAAGCTTAAATGCAAACTCAGGCACACACACTCACGCAGGAACTCACAAAGTGCACAATGCACACACACACACATACGCGTGGGCGAATTGCGATTAAGTGAGTGATCTATTAATCATTGGTGAAATGATTAACGTGACAATTAATCACATTTGGGCCAAATGATTAATTGATCAATTGATCGATTAATTGAATTTATGTAAAAACAAATCGTGAAGAAAAGTTTCATACAAAAAACATCATTGCAAAAAACATGATGCATTTTTCTGCAAAATTGTATCGTCTGGTAAAAATTGTCATGTTTTTTGTATGAAACTTTTCTTCACAATTTGTTTTTACATAAATTCAATTAATCGATCAATTGATCACTTAATCATTTGGCCCAATGATTAAGTGATTAAATGTCAATAAGTTTTTAAATGCCATGCACAAATTATTCACGTAAACCGGCCACCGACAATGTAAAAACTGTAACGTTGTTTTATGGAGAAATCTAAATAAATATCATATTATTATTATTATAGACGACAAACAACATAAAAGTGTCTCACAAGTAAACCGTCCCAACTGTCACACGTCGAATTCAAAATTGAATTTACAGATCGATAGGGAATAAATAAATAATAATAACTTTAACGAAAGAACAGCGGCCTTCTTTACAATGCTTCATCTGATGGTTTCTACATAGAAATGCAATTTTCTCATACTAGAAATGGTTTGAGGACAAAATATGTTCATATGGAATGTTCAGGACACTCCAGAGAATCAGATGACAGCTTGGGTGGAGTTGCCCTCCATCACTATAATAAAATGGAGGGTCAAAAAGTGGAAAAATAGCGAAAAATGACCAATGTATCCCCAAAATAGGGTCAAACCCCCCTTAACCCTCTAAACAAATTACATTTTTGGATTTCTCGTGAAAAATTACTCTTAGGTTTGGAACATTTCCCATTAAAAAAATCATCTCTTGTGTCCTAATTTAAGTTCTGAATGTTAACAAATCGCACCCCCAAACCTTGAGCAAGGGACTCCTCAAACGCCCAGGAAAAGTGAAAAATTGAATGGCTACCCTAAAATATTCTCCTAAACAACTTTGCTATACATCATTTTTTGATCAGATGAAACTTGGCAAAGGGTGTGGGTCTATCCCCACTATGCCCCAAAAGTGGCCGCTGCCCTTTTGTCAATTTTTTTTTCATTCCCTATCGATCCGTATATTCAATTTTAAAATCGATGTGTGACAATTGGGACGGTTTACTTGTCAGAATTGTATTTCATCCAAAAAAAAGAAGTAAAAAGCAAACACATACCTTCATCATAATTTTCGTCGACGTTTCCAAACGATTTAAGGCACAAGGGGCTGCAGCAAGTGGCTCGGCTTGGGTTCGGGGCTCTTCAGCTTCGCCTCCAAACGATATCGCTTCACGAGCTCTTCGTGTTGTGAGCCCTTCAATTTCGGCGACAATGTCAAGATAAATTTGCTCGCGTTCTCGTCGCTCTTCGGCACTTTCCAAATCTTTGCCATACGATTTTGGTGGGTATCGCATTGCCTTAACACTTTGATTGTGCAGATCCAAGCAGGACGAGATACGTTGATGGAAAGCCAATTGTGGATCACGTGTACTGTACACATCCATGTTTTCTTTGCTGTGCATGTAGCCCTTTTCCGGATCGATTGTTGCTTCGATGACACCATCACGGATTGCCTTGGCGACAATGAACTCAGCATCTTCGGCACTGTCTAAACTCAGCTTATTGGCAATATGTTCGAGTGAAATGCGCGAATACGACAGACCAATCGAACAAATGGCCGTTTTGATGACATTGTGACGCAAACGGATGATCAATGTGTACAAATGGTCCTGTTGGAATTTCGGTGTGAAATTTTCCAAAACCTCGCCGAAACGTTGCAAATTTCCCAAACGAACGGCTTGTGTCAGTTGAACGTATGGGATGAGCGAACGACACAGTGCAGCCTGTTGGAAAATTTGTCGCTCGGGAATACAGTGAACAGCAGTTCAACGACAATGATCAATTTTTGAACTGTTCATCGGAAACCGATAGCAGAATTCTGTGGTGATTTTCGGAGTGCCTGCACCAAATTCTTATGCGCATCACTGTATTCCAATTTTGCACCTTTGATACGACCTAAGTAATATAAGAATCGAGCCGATTCATTATTGCTGGCCGTTTCCGGGAACACCGACTTCTTGACCAATTTATCAGCCTGATCGTACAGCGAATAATGCAAATCGTTACGCAGTGTGGCTGTACGCAAGCGATTGTGCAGGAAACTGCGAATATTTTCAATTCGGCAACGCGTGAATAATAGAAGTAGATTTTGACTGCAATCAAATCCAATGTACGGCGATTTTGTTCGACAATTTTTTGGCATGAACAGTAGAATAAATGCAATGTTTGAATGTAAGCAATGTAAACATAATGCAAGCTAATCAAAAACTATTGAGCGACCGATCGCACCTGCATATAAGCGATCGGTCACTCAACGACAGTCTTCACTTGAACCTCCAATAAAGAACACCAACGAACCGATTGGACTCTGTCCATCGGTTCTTATCAGCAACAGTGCACAAATAGTTTTAATCGTACACAAAAGACAATAATATGGCTATAATTTTCTTGGTCAATGCATCAGAGCACGCTTGGGCTTTGTCCAATTGCGATTTTTCAAGCAAAAATACCAACACCAACAATTGTAAATATGCGTCAACTTCGGGAATTGGTGATTTAATGGTGGCTCGTGTTCGTTGCACTTCCAATTCTTGGCCCGGTTGTTCATTCAAAAATTGAGTGATTGAATCACGTTCAGCGCCAGCTGGGTACAAATATGCCGTTAAAGTGCGTAGCACAATCGTATTCAATTTGCGACGAGTATTTGGCAATGATTGCAACACACGCAGTATGAACTGTGGCTCCTTTGTCAAGACAGCCTCTTCGATTTGTAGACTATGCTCACGCATCTCTTCCACGGCCGCCACATCCTGTTCGCGTCTCTGATTTTTGACGTCTTCAGCGCATTCCATTTCAACATCATGTTGTTGGAGCTCGTTTTTCGCAACCATTTCTGTTAAACTATACCTGAAAATCAACAAAATGACAATTAGCGTTCCGTATTAAAATGGGAGTAAGTATTCCAATGCGCTTATTTATTTATGGAAATGAAAATTGCACTTGCGATTGAATTTCATTCAAAATATCTTCACCTACTTTTATTGTACTTTTTTTCAAAATAACCTCTGTTGCAAACAGCTGAGTAATGATATGTCACTTTATTATTTTGCTGTGTTAAATGTCAAATCGCCGCATCAGCAATTAGTATGACTGAATGCCACGAGAGTTTATGACAACACAGAGCCAAAACAAAAATGATTATCAATAGATGGCGCTCGGGATTGGAGAAACAGACGATTATTTGG